AACTCTTACTATTTGGATTGGAAGATTGGTTTGGATTTTCTCACCATTCTCCTCTGTGGTATCGATCAGACATGTTTCCATGATTTCAATATACTTTAGAAGAGTAAATAACGGAAATACGGTGCCGAGAAGTCCATATATATACTTCTCCTTTTTTTCTCCTAAATATACAAAAGCAATAGCGCTTGCCTCATTGGAAAATTTTTATCGTTACGTGTATTATGTTATGTCTCAAAAAACCGTGATAGCGTTTTCTCACTAGCGTAAATTATAAAGAAATTTTTTTGACAGATCAAAAAGACACTGTTCTTTATGACTGCACTACAATTATGGGTGCGGTAAAGTTAGATTTTTAAAGGCCGTGTTACAAGAGGTTTGTCGCGTCACTCCACATGTTCAACACACTCTAACACGTCGCGTCATCGGAGCCAATATGGCGACTAGATGTCGCATCGTGAACGTAAGTGAAAAATAAATTCTCATCAATATTGAATTAAATATAATAATTTTTTAATCAGAAATTGACATTTAATTGTACAGAATATAGTAGGATACAGAATATAGTAGTTGAAAAAAATCCTCGTTTGAAATGATGTTTTATATGAAATTGTTGATTGAGCTCTCGATAATAATCGAATTTTCTCGATAACAATCGATTCTCGATAACAGATTCTTGAAGAACCAATTAACACAATTTTACAATTATGGATTTTCAAACTTCTGACTTGATACTTATTTCGATCCGTAATATCTTAACGCAGGAATAACTAAATAAGATTAGAGCGATAATTTTTATTATGTATCATATGTTAATTCGTTGATGGGATACGTTTTTTTTATTATCACTGATGAATACTTTGTAAGTTGAAATTTATAGTGTTATACGAATGTAATAAAAGACGAATCTTATTAGTTAACTACATTTGCTCGTTTTTTAAAAAAGCCTTGACATTTTAATTTATAATTTTTATATTTATTAAAAACGCATTTATTTTATATAAAAACGCTTTTCAAACAATTGAGGTAACACAAAATAGCCAAAACGAAACAGGCACATGTCCGTTCGAATGGTGTCACGGATTAAATTAGATGACTTGTTCCTAAATCCGTTCGTGTCACTGAACATTAGAGCACATGAATACAACTGCTCCAACCGCCATCTTACTTGTGATCCAAATTAACCCAGAGAGCACTTAGATCACAGGTAAGATGGCGGTGGAAGCAGTGAGATTCAGATGATCCAACGTTCAGCGACACGAATGGATTTAGGAACGGATTCCGTTTTCAGCCGTTGAAGGGCGAACATCTCTAGGAATTTCATTACAGTGGCTGTGTTTAAACAAAACGGAATCGAATAAGCCAGAGCATAACGTATTAGAACATTGTTGGGGATCCAAAGGAGGATATTTTTTGCGACATTTTTTGAAACTACTGTTAGTGGTGACAAAACTTGTTGTTATGATTCAGAAGAGACGAGAAAGAAAGAAGGAGGAAAGATTCACTTACCTAATCAACAGCATCGAGAGGAAGCAAGGAATAGAGGGAAATTAATCTGTTTACTGGATCAACATGATTAACTTAACATTATTTAGCTGAACTCTGGGTTTATATTGGCAATCATTACACTGAATAATAATTTTTAAGCAGAGTCTCTCTGTCCCCGAGGAGATTCTTATGCTGGATCATTGAATCCTTTTTACGCATGATACTATGACCCAATTATAGAGTTGGAAATCCATACAAGGGAATAAGAAGAAGAAAAAGAAGCGACATGAATGGATTAGAACAAGCCTCAAGCGTCCTATGTGCAAGCATGTGCAATCCGTCTCAATCCATTCTGAAACAGATCGGTGTAAAATATTTAGTTCACCTAAATTTAACAATATGCCGGTTTTTGCTTTGAAATCATTAATCATATTAATAATAATTTATTAGCAGAAAATCTTTTACCTATTGTAGCTGTCCGTGATTTTGTTGAGGGAGACGATGAAATAGAGAGTAAGTACTAATAAACGGGATTAGGAAACGTTACTTTGTCGATATTTTTTATATTAACATTGTAATTAATATTATATTTAACATTATTATTTATGTGCCATTATAATTTCCTGATCGCAGGACCAATTATCGTTGGTTTCTTTTGCTGCAGATTATCTATTATAACAAAAATATCGACAATATTAATACAATATTCAGATAATTATTTAATTAAATAAATAAGAAAAATGAAACAAGTATTATGAAGATAAAGTACTATGAATACTTAGGAAGTCTTATTCCTCACCAATTTTGATGAAATTAGGCTTTGATGCATTTTTACAAAAAAGGGAACTGCTAAAAAAATCGCCCATAGACCAAAATATTAATTTAGTAACTATTCAAGTTAGGAAATCTGTCAGTAATCTAACACTCAATTATTCTTAATTATTATGCATGCGTTGTTATGCCCCAATAGCCCTGAAGTGAGGCAAATAGCATTCTCTTAATTGATCCATGAAGAATGCTCTAATGCGACGCGACATCTAATCATCATATTGATTTCGGTGACGCGAACATATTGGAACGTGAGGAGCATGTTGGAGCGTGCGAACAAATCTAAAGTAAAATCTCTCTGGGGACAGAACAAGGAGTGGAAAAGGAATAAAAATGGTAGACACGAATGCCTACATTTCTAGTAATATTAGGTCAAAACAGGCGAAACAAAACGCGTGGAACCGTGGAAATTTAATAAAGTTTAGTTAATTTTGTCTTCCGCGTTTCTGCGTTTCCACGTTTTATATAATAGCATCCTAAGAGTGCGGTCCTATGGAGTGGAATTTCCGGAATGTACAATTAGCGCTGACCAATCACAAAAGCCTTCCCGTAGATATTAAATTTTCCAGTCGCATAACATCAAAATCAGATTATTAATCATTAAATTTTCTATTTTTTTTTTTCAAAAACAAGTGAATCTTTTAATAATGTGGAACTTAACCTTAATCTTTGTCCCATTAAGCCGATTCTATATTAGTTGCAAGCTGATCGAAGTTTATTGCGACAGTCAATCTGAAGCTTGCATTTTAAAATCAATGCTTTTGAACCGATTTTAGGCATGTGATTTTGCAGTGCGCATGCGAAACAACTTTTACCCAATTCAAAAGTACATTGATAGAGTGATCTTAAAGTGACTCAAAACTAGAATCAAAACTATAATAAGACAATAGCGATTCATCCTTGAAATTGGTCAGCGCCATATTTGGGATCGTGCGATATGTTATGAAAATGTGAAATTTCTAATCGCCTTAAGACCAGTTGTTCCATCTTTTGATAAATTTTACCTGTTGGGTAAGTAGCAAGATTACTCACTCATATGCGCAGATTACCAGATTTATCTCACAGATAAAATTTACCAAAAGGTGGAACAACTGGTCCTAAGGCTAGCGCACACTTAAAGCACTTCAGAATTATTTAAACATAATTACTGGATGCACCCCAGTGTATGCACACGCACACAAGCAGACAGAATCTACAAAAAGAAATAAATTTGCGCAACAAAAAACAGCGGAATCGGCGAAATGAAGTCACGACCAATCACGAGCATTCCACCAATTCCATATTGCAATTCTCACCATGGGACCATATCCTTAAAATGAAATCACACGGTGCGGAAAACGATTGCAGAATAAAGAATGCGTCATAGAAGCAACCAATCAGCATTATTCTGCGTTAGATTGGAGTTCCATGAGGTATATTTGACGCGTATCACATTACCGCGTAACCAATCAATAATCAGTAAAATGCAAAACCTCAACAACGAATCGCTTCTGATTGGTTACGCGATTATGCGATACGCGATAAATACACCTCATGGGACTCCAGCCTTATTCCGAATAGCGCTAATTGGTTGATTCAATGGCCTAGTTTCCTGAGGATTTTAATCAACTACAGTCGAGTATTCTTCTGTTACAATCGACAAGGAAATGCTCGACTGTAGTTGGTTGGTTCTTACATTCTGATCTGGATTAAACCCTCAGTGGAAACTAGACCAATGACGCATTCTCTATTCCGCAGCATGTGATTTTACCCTAAAAGAGCGTTTATATTGGCCGTAATACGGGATCTACAATAGAAGTTAATTAGCAAATCGCTAATTAATCAATCATCTTCCCTTTCTACAGTCGAATGAGAGGGAAATACTTGACCTTTGACTTACTATAAACACATGGACTGCCAGTAGTCAACTTCAGACATGTCGCAAAGTTGGAAGATTAGACTCCGCTCCGGACAGTAATTTTCTGTGGAAGTGAGGAGCTTTGATTATAATATATGCACGTTTACGATGTGCAACGGTCAGTAAAAGTCTCTGTTCCTCGAAGAGACTTCAAACGATTTTAAAATCATTAATTTGCAAGGTACTGTGACTTTGTACTACCTGAGTCGGAAAACCAAATAAAGAGAAGATAGAAGAAGAAGAAGAACGTCAGTAATGGTCAACTTTCGCATTTAAATTTGCCGCTTTTTATTATTTGGGGCGGAGCTTAACAATCATATTTCATATCACGGAATTTTTCATGGGTTTTCCTATACCATGTTTCAAATCCATTTTTTTCGTGACCAGCTGCTTGAGTTTGATCTCCTTCTTATCAGAAACTATGTATTCCACAATGCATTTCTAATAGGTTGAAATTCTTATTCTCTATTCTCTGTTTCCTTTTATTGTATGGAGTCCCTTGGCCCTGCTCCGTGGTCAAACTACTTAACTGTGATTAGTCAATTCAGTCACAGATTACGGCATACAGTATACGGTTAACATAAACGCTCCCTAAAGTCTATTCTACAATAATCGCAAGTATAGTTAAATTGACTAATCAAGTCAAATGTGAGGAGAATATTTGATTGTAATTGATCAATTCTTACAATTATAACCACTTACAACTATTGCAGAATAGGTTTAAATGAGGACTATCCCCATTCCTCGAATGCGCAGTCTAGAGATATTATGTCTATGGTGGTCGCGCGAATCGGCTATCGGCGTCCATCCATACTCCATTACTTCATATTCCATTGCATTGCGGTATTGCCTGATTCTTACGATCAGTAAGATCGTTCAGTTTAGAATTAGAACAGTTTATAGCTACGAATTACTAAAAAACAGGAGGCTTCCATTTAAAGGATTGAAAATGGCGATGGCGACGAGCCAAGTAAAAGGCAGCGGCTGGCCACGTCGAGCGAGCAACAGTTCGTTCGAAGGGAAGGTGGTGCAGAATCAGTCGGTTACCATCAACAGGACCGTTAATTTGTAAGTGGCGCGATGTGACGCGCGAGATCTATTTAGAATTAATTGTGTTTTGACCGCCTCTCTTCTGTAGAACCGACTACAACCACAACCGATCTCGGCAGACGCGCTAACAATATGACTTCCTAAAAGAGAAAAAAAATAAAAGAAAGGAACTATCTCTTTCTCTCCTGTCGCGATGAATGATCGGCCGTTTATCCTTTTGAAATTCTGGAATTTTAAGCAACTTGTATTCATTTTTCACATACTAAGCGTTATGCCTTGTTTACAGTGGAAAGCTACTGTGACTTGTACACGACAGATTGTACAACTTATGACTGTACTATTTGCTTAAGATTCTCCAATCCAGATGATATAGCGTCGCATACGAACTATTACGCGAGATTTTGCCGTCATTCAATTTTGCGCGCAGCGTTGAGCATTGTTTCCTTTTTATGATATCATAAACTAAGTCTAATTACTTTCAGTTATTCTTTGCATTCGTAATGCAAGGAATCGGTTATTGATTCTTGTGTGTAAAGAGGCAACCCGTTGTGTCCCTTTTCTTTTCGTTTTAATTGTTAAAGTGCAATTTGTATCTTAAGATTTCACACTCCGCAGATTCGAACGATTCTGACAAGGCTGTATTATTTTCTAAGTTTGTATGATCGCCAGGGAAGCCCTGTATATGTTTTATTCATGATTTCACTCTTCCATTTTATGTAAGATATGCTATATCTATATGTATTATATGTATACATATGTACTGCATTGTACGAAGTAGTTCACAATTATATATATATATATATATATACACACACACCTCGTTATATTACATTTTAAGATAGTACCTAAACAAATATTGCGATTATTCTGACTAATTTGTTATAAGAAGGCAATATAAATCTTCTTAAAACAAACGCAATTGTACACAAGATCTATGTAACGTTAGATCATATAGATGACTATTTGTGCTTCTTATTATATATGTGCATCTCTAACGTTATATTTGCAGCATTTTGTGTTATAAGTCAAAATGTTACAGAGTATATTTATATACCAATGTATATTTCGACATCATGCAGACTTTTGCATGTATTTATCAAATATTTATAACTTATCTTTTTTTATTGTATTATTGAAAGTTCTCAATATTATCTTCTTTGAACAAACTTTACTTATTATTACAATATGATTATGTTGTGTAATTGATATATCAAGTAATATTTATTGAGATGAAAAATTTATTTAAAGAGACATATTTAAATAATTTTATAAAAACACAATATATGTAATATATTATAAGCATGGCAAATAATAATAGAATTCGAAGATTATAATGAAATATTCGTATTATTTATCGAGTACTTAGTAAAATACTTATTTGTGCAAATACAATTGTAATGTCACAAATAACAAAATTATGTTTGCTTGTTATTTATATTTAATTTGATTATAACACACAGGTGTTCAATGTGAATGTAGAAGAGCTTTAATTATCGATGTGTTGAAATATTAATATTTTATACATGCGTATGTAAAAACTGAATATAAAGCGATATTTTTGTGACAAATAAACTATCATTATATATGGAATGTAATATTATATGTATATTACATTGCATTATCAGTATTTGGTTCTATTTTTATAATTATACTTAAACTGCATAAGTTTTGCAAATTCAGAAAACAAACGTGTAAAAAAAATAATATACTGATTGGAAATTTTGTTCTATTCTAAATGAAAAGATTAATCTCTTTTATTACAAAATTTTATGTACCTGATGCAATGTATTCTCATTAACAAAGATATTTAATAATAATAAAGGCTCTTTGATAATAAAACAATTCTTTATAATTTAAATATATCTATCTATAAGGGTGATCCTTATTTTTCGATTTTCAAATTCTTTCCGTTCATCCTCTAGAATGGTTTCAATCCACAAAAAAAAAATTAAAAATATATTAATAAAAAAATATAATTTCTGTAAAATTTTATATCAGGTCAATCGGATGTGTTCCGGTTCATTAAACGTTTGAATTCCGT